ACTGATTAAAACACATAGCGAACACGCACACAAATATTATCCATGTTCTCGGACGAACCAGGCAGGCAGAAAACATGTGAAAACTGATCTTGACACCTTTCCTGGCTCTTTTGGTGCAGCTCCAGTCGTGGCATTTTGATGAGAAGGCAGGTTTTAATCTGGTTACTTCCAAAACAACACAGCAATTACTGGCCCGCATCCTACACTCCAGACCGGAAGTGTGCCCAAAGTGCCACCACTGCAGCGTGACGTAGGATTGTTAAGTTGGTGTATAGGTTTAATTATATGTCAAATCCGTAATTTCCTTGCCATCCCAATGTAGGCATTGAACTTTCTGAGGCCATTGTCTATAGATATAGTTGGATTAAAATTAAGTTAGCTTAGAAATGGACAAGTGGAAGCTTGAGAACAATCTTTATTAGTTCAGCTGGGTTTTGTTTCAGCATGGTGCAACACTAGTGAAAGGCTTGTAGAAACTATTTGATATTCGATTAGAAAATATTTGGCCAAAAACCGCTATTCGCTCCGAACTCAAAATCCACTACCGTAATATCCTGAGTCAGGGTGGGCCATGTCTCGGTGGGTATGCACAAAAAGTTTGGAAAAAGCTAAAAAATGCCCATTTTTCTGTACATATCTAGTGCAGCTGCAAAAGAGATACATTAAACTCAAAAATCAAATTAGTTTCATTGTTTTATGCAAGAAATAAATATTTATGAAAGAATGTTCTAATATTGCAAAGGCCATTGCTTGCATACACGCGATGAACACTGTGGATCAGCTACAGTGCAAACGTTTGCTTCATGAAGGCACGTTTCTTACTATGTTCTCTTCGTTAATAAAGAAAAAAAGAGTCAACAAGAAAATAGAAAAACCAACCAGGCGCAATGAGTGATCGAGCGGGCAGAAGAAGCGACAGAGCAATCGAGTTGGCAAATACTTTGGCGTCGGACCAAGTTGGGCACCTTGTCAGTCACAAGGGCTCTTGTGCAATTTTCTTGTTTGGTGCATACATGCGTGCGTCCGTGCGGGGCGTGCTATCAACGCGGGTTGAGGCGGCGTTGCTGCATGACGTGGGCAGCACCACTGTTGTCAACGGCAGGAGTCGTTGGCACGTGTGCGCGAGAACCGCTAACGCGTGCCCAACTGGTCCATGCTATGGGGTATCTTCGGCGTGTGACGTCACCTAGATAGGCTGTGTGTGGACACAGAAAAGAAAAAGGACTCGAAATGAACGAGATTCAGAGGTAGGTACCTGTCTCGGTGACAAGCGGGTATCGTATTAATAAACCGCTTGTTTGTTTTTTTTTTAAGAAAAGGGAGAACGAAACGTCTGTTTGGCTACACCACTAACACTGGCTCAAAATGGAACGCTTCACAAACGTCTTTGTGCGGCGTCCCAGCAAGCTTTATTTACCTGTTGGCTTTGTCTCAAACATTGCGCATCCTTACCAACCGTGGTCTCGACGCTACAGAAAAAGGGTGCGCGGTGCCCGTATTTCGGCGGAGACTGACATTGACCTTACACTCCGTGGTTACATTCCGGGATATGGGGCTGGGGCATTTGCTGATCTTGCAACCCCTGAATGGGTTACTGCTTGTGTTATCTTTCTGAGTTTTTTTTTGTTAGCAAAACGAAGTTTTGTTCTGTTACCTCCATTGTTTCCTTTTCGCACGCATGTACTCGAACTTCGGGGTCGTGGAAATAGGGGAGAAAATGCCTAAACAATGTGACGTGTCTTTTTCCCCTTTGTTTTACTTTTTCACGGAAGTCCTCTAACTGTAAGGTACGCGGCCGTGTCATTTGGGTAGGATGAATGTTCGCGGATTGCGGAGTCCGCATTGGGGTATTTGTAGGGGTGGGCGATAACTGCTCTTTTTTTGGAAATCTATATTTGCCCGAAAAGTGGAGTGGTCGATGACTCGGGACATTACGGTATTCGCACATGCCTAGCAACGAGTCATCGGAGCCAATCCAAGGCTGTGTGAGGTTCCCGTGACCTTCAAAAGGAAGCGCCACGACGCACGACAAAAAGCGTAGTCACATGCCACGTTTACAGGGTTGGATTGGCTGGGATGGCTTTTAGTGTCTGCCGCGGTCAAATGGAGTATACTACTATCAGTGTTTACTCAGCAGTTGTTTACCGACCAAGCGCGACATAATGACAAAATCAAGCAGCCGCTGAAATGCTACTCACTGATATAATAACCTCGGCGATAGTTTCAGCTTTCTTCCATTAGATACTGTAAAATGCTATATTTTCGCAGCCCCTATTTTTCACGAATCGGTCACAGAAGACATAATCTTAGCCACTGAATTGCGCGAATTCCAGATGCCTGCGTTAAAACTCTTAAGGACCGAAATTTTCATGTAATCTTAAATTTCAAAAAATTTTAATTCACGAAAATTAAGGGTTTGCGAACATTCAGCGACAGCGAAGCGGGTCGCCGTCGCTTGCATACGGTTTATATTTAATATCGAGGCGCCAATGGTTCAGTGCTGTGTGCATCGAAATTAAATAAGTTTAAACCACATGTAAGCGATTTGGCGAGCGACGAGACAAGCGACGGCGACCCGCTTCACTGTCGCGCGGTCAATCGCGCGACGAGGCAAATTGCGTGAAAGCGACGAAAGCAAGCGACCAAGAGGGTGAGCGACGTTTTTAAAAAATCCAAAAATCGAGCGACGCGACGGGTGACAGTGAGAAATCTTCGTCGCTGACTCTCGTGGTTGTCGCCGTCGCTCGTGTCGTCGCTCGCTAAAGCGCTTACGTGCGGTTCGGCTTTTACTTACAGAATCAATGTCTAAAGCGCGCACATGGAGCGAGGGGCACGACTGCGATAGCCTTACTGCGTCAGTTGAAATTTCAATATGTCACAATGGTGTTGACTGTCCTTTATTTGCGACAAAAATGAAAGAATGTGATAAACTTGCGTGGTCTCTGAAGCCTAGGCCATAATCTTGCATCGTCGATCCATTCGCTGTCCGATTCCGTTCTATAAATAAGAAAACACAAAGTCTATGTTCAAATATAGATATCAAATGCTTAAATGAAAGCCCGAAATATCGAAAAGACCCAAAGAAAACACAAGATTTCAACGCAGAACATAAAAGAACGCGAAAACAAAACTCCGGTGGCGGTTGGCGCAGCACACACGGCGAGAAACTGAAGGTCGGCTATGGCGGCAGGGTCACGTGACGTCAAGATGGCGGCACCCATGAAATGTTGCCTGAAAGGGTCTATATTCCTTCTTCCTCTCCAGTCCAGTTTCGGTTTTGAGCAGTTGCGTTTTTTTTTACTTTATTAAAAATATATGTGAAGCAGTAGTTAAATTTTGATTGGGTAGTCTTCTGACACCATTATAAATTGCCTGGCAAAAAAAATTAAACAAAAATTTTTTTTGGAGGGGTGTCAGTGTTCCTTTAACCTGTTACCGACTGTAGCCTTTTCGCCTAGGGTTTCGTGCCAATTGTCGTGTCTGTCCAAATCTAGGTTAACCTTCGTGTGATCTGATCCTGTGCATCTACTTTCCCGCACAGCACGTGGAGAGCCAAGGTTTATCAGTGTGTCTAGCGACCGGGAAAACTGGGAATTGTGGGAAATTTTAATTACTGTGAAAAATCGGGAAATTGTCAGGGATATTGTCAAAAAGCGGGCCCAGTCAGAGAAAATGAGTCGGAAATGTAATTGAGTGCCCTGAGCAAAGACGAAGACTTGGGGCAGAAAAATAGGCAATAAATTCTGCTTAGAGTAAAGCGCGGGCTCTGCTCACCCAGTGTAGAGTGTGCTACCCGATGCAAAGGGAACAGCCAACAAATACAGTCCAAGCCTTGGATTGAGGGCGCGACACTAGGCTAGATCCAGTTAGAGCTACCAGATTTAGTAACAAATGGGAAAGCTGCAGACCGCAATGGTGGCCATGCTGCCATACGGTTATTGACGTCTGTGGTTGAGCGTTGTATTTTCATTGTTTTTCTGGAAGTGGCCTCTCCACTGATGATGTTGGCACCAAGAAAGTGCTCGTGTAATTCGGACTGGACGAACCCGAATATTTCGGAATATGCAAGCTGGATTAAGCCGGTGCAAAATGATTCTCACAGTGCTCAATGCTCAATGCCTTGTGTTGTAATGGTCTTATATATTCAACTGCCTCTACAATGGTCAGGGAATTTCACCTGAAATTGTCAGGGAAAACCTGGACAAGTTAGGGAATTTCAAAATAATAATTTGCTAGACACCCTGTTTATGCAAGGAGAGTAGCGACTGCAAAAGCCCTAATATTGGCACTCAGAAATACCGGGTTCGATTGAAAAAATGGAATACCTAGGCTTAATTTCGTCAAAGCAAGAAATGTCATTGTGGGTGCCTATGGCATTTATATCAGTGAAACAAACGTGCCAGCGAGAAAAACAACAATATTGTCCTTCTTACTGACACGGTTGTTTTACTGAAAGAAAATGTCACGGGCATCCACCATGTTATTTCGTCTTTCCCTTCTGTCTTTTCCCCCAGCACCCTATCCCCACCCCTAGCTTTACATTCTAAAGGGGCTTCAGTTTTCTTAAAGGCATACTTAATTTATGTGAGCAGAAGAACCGGGCTTTATTTTCTCGATCGAAACCGGCTCCATCCACACTCACATCTGCCCGAGTGCTGTTGGCTATTTTGGGTGCAAACGTCTTTTGCGCTCTGTCTTCGTTTGGCAAATCTGGGCTGTGTTTGTACGCAGGTCGATGCAGGTTTTGGTAAACATGATGGTTCCTCTGTGTAGAAGCCATTTATGCATTACAATCAAAGTATGAAGTAATGGGGCGAGGGCTTGAAAATACATGAGCATCAATTGAAAAATACTTGGAGCTCGAAGGCACTAAAGGCTAGGTTGAGCAACTTGTTGATAACCCCTGCACTGTTGCGACATGCTATTTTCAGAATATTTTTCTAGATCATGTGCATGTGCTGTATGGAACTTCATTCTCATTTTTCCTTTTTCTGTGACAGACTGGTGTTGGAACAGGAACTGGCCTCAGCAACTCCTTCTCTAAACTTCCGGTAAGTTATTTGCAGTTATACTTTAAAGATTGTATGATCATGGAGCCCTCTGTTTTGGGGATTTTTATTGCCTTCACGAAGTCCGAAATTCCTTTAGGGCTGCCAGTTTAGTTTAGTGTAAGTTTGATTAAAAGCCTGCATCCTGGTGTAAAGAGCGACATACACCTTTGGTTTTCTGCGGGGAAGATACTCCTCTTATGGTGTATTCGCTCAACAGAGTTTCTCTCTGAGGAGAGGATTAGGTGCCATCCAGTTTTGAGGTCATGTGTGCCTCGTCACGGATGTTCGCTAATATATGTATTTTTTCTTTAATTTCCAGTGATGTTTTATTAATACTGTTTTACATTTGTCTGATGAATTATATACAGGGTGTTTTTTTTTATTCTTACACATTTGTTTAAAACAAAATCGTGAAAGCTACTATAATGCGGTTTGTGCAGGTGGGTTATACGGCCAGGCGGACATTATGGGGGTGGCTAATCTTTGCGATGAGTCGGCTAATTAATTAAAATTCGTTAATTAACTTTTTAATTACTTAAAATAAACATATGGTTTCAATTTGAAAATTGCTGAGCATCATTGAAAACCCCTAAATCAACTATCTTTAGCAGGATATAACGCCAGGGCAGCATTTTACGGCGTTCTGTAAAAACGCTCTATTTGGACGCATTTCTAGATTTCGGTTTCTTATCGGAGCGCATCTACGCGCCCGCGATACTGCTCCCCGGTGGTCGCGACGCGAAGCCACCTCCTCGCCTCCCTCGTAGAATGGAGGGAAGCACGCCGCACGTGTGTTGCACGTCTCAGCCACTGGGGAGCAGGACCGCGGGCGCGGTGATGCGCTCCGATAAGAAACCGAAATCTAGAAACGCTTCCAAATGGAGCGTTTTTTCAAAACGCTGTAAAATGCTTCCCCGGCGTTATAGCTTTCCAAAAATAGTTGATTTAGTGGTTTTCGATGATGCTCTACAAGTTTCTAATTGAAATCATATGTCTATTTCCACTAATTAAAAAAGTTAATTAACAAATTTTAATTAATTAGCCGACTTATCGCAAAGATTAGCCACCCACATAACGTCCGCCTGGCCGTATAACCCACCTGCGCAAACTGCATTAGTGTTGCTTTCACGTTTTTTTAAACCAATGTGTAAGAATAAAAAAAAACACCCTATATATATATCTGATGCTTTTATAAACATTTGTAGACCCACCCCCTGCTAAAATGCCTCATGGCGATGCAAGATTCATTGTAAAATAATATTTAAAAAAATATCATTAAAATGTGGGGTGCCTTTTTTTTATTCCCCCTGCCTCTTGTTTGATGTGCCCCCGAAGGCACATGAGTAGGAAGAGTCTGCCAGCTCAAGTACGCTCAACTCCCTTGTACGAGTAGTCGCTCGGATTTTCTTAACCGCCACCTTGTTCTTGTAGCTTTTCTCCATGCAACTCTATGAAATACTCAGTTTTTCTCCGGAGTTATTTCTCTTGCGAATACACCATTAGAGAACCCCTTTTCTAAATGGCTAGGGGAGCTGTATTGGGGCAACACGTAGACAGCAAGGCCATAATGCTGGGTTTCCTATGTCATCTTCGAGTGGCCAGTTCAGAACACAGATTAGACACAAAAAAAAAAAAAAAAAGCTTGAGGTACACCTAAGCATTTCTTACGAGTTGTGAATGCGAAAGCATGCAAGCCGCTCGTCCGCTCCCTTTGTCATCTGCTCGTCCACTCCCTCTGTCGTCTGCTGCATACTAAAGAAACTCAATCTTCATCTTTCTTGCACAGTTATCGCACATTACGCCATCCCAATAAACATTATCATCTTCTTGCTTGGTTTTTGTTAAAACGGCGTACGGCTCGTTTCTGCAGCGGAGTTATATCACGTACTAGCGCGGGCTCACTTTGGGATCTCGGAGGCCATGGCGCAGCGGCCAATGGAACCGAAGGCGACTCGCTCCTATTGGGATTGCGGCGGAAACTAGGAGCCGTTTTCGCGCCTCAAACTGATGACGTCAGCTCGCTCCATGAGACAGTTAATGTTTTCACATTAAAACAAGTGCTGCGTCAGTATTTGGTTGGGACTTGTGTTTTCACTGATTGAATACTATACTTGGGATCAACTTTCTGTGGCAGTGGAGCCAAGGCTACAGAGCCGAAGCACGCCGTTCCACTGCACAGCTGAATATAGTTCAACCAAAATAATTTGCACAGCTATAAAATATAAAATTGTTCTTTTTAGCTTTAATTTCAGTGTTACTATAATATTAGTCTGAATGTGCCAAACTTAGAGCATTTCTTTTTAGCCCTTACGGCTTTTGTTTAAGTTTGCAACAGGTTTTCTAGTTTCCTGGAAAACAAACATGGCGTCTTGTGTGTATCGACGGCTCTTGTTGGGCACGGTGTATCGTCGGTACTTTTCGTTAGCTCCCCCCCTTTGTTTGCCCTGGTAGGATTTTCGCAAAGTTTGCCAACCAAAAGTTGACGAAACATACTACTGAGCAAGTGGTGTGCTGCATGTATGCACAAGTGAGACAAAGGGAACCTGGACTCTCTATTGTTTTCGTATAGTGTTTGGTTAGCAAGCTCACCGGTGTAAGCAAGCAGGGGTGGGGATTGAGCCCAGGATCCCTGGGTTCTGCAGCGTGAGCTTTCACTATACGTGTTCCGAGCCATGGTGTGCCACCGACACCTCCTAGGGCCAGCCCTAACCGAGTGCGATCCAAATAGAATTTGACTTGGCACTGTAGCATATGCGTGCTCCTATATCGGTATATCGCTCCTGCGCTGTGAATTTTCAGCACCGGAAGAGTTTATCTGTTTATGACCTCAAAACTGAAGCGCCAATGAAATTCACGACATTTCTTAAATCAATGCCGTATATCTGCGTCGGTCGCGAGACACACAAAATTTGACGTGGTCGATCACATTCTTATTTACCTCACAAGTTTGTCAGAGTGCTTCAGACGAAGCGTTTGCTTGTGTTATACAAACGGGTGAAACGCAAGGACCGATATGCGGATATGTCTGCATGCTCGGTGATCGAAGTTGGGCACCCCTAACTGCAATCCTCATACTAAGAGATGAACAGTAGCAAATGCCTGTCTGTCATGCCAGAACACAAACATACCGAAACCAAAAGAGTCTGGAGCTACTTGGCACAATAACACAGAGCTGTTAGCTCTGCCCTCCCTAGCTTTCTCTTCATTGCCATAGAAAATTGACCCCAAGTATAGTAGTCCCAGCTTAAGACTGATGCAGTGCTTGTGCTCAATCTGTCTCATGCTGGCCACTTGAAGGGGATGTAGAAAACCCCATGGCTTCGCTATCTAGGAGGTATTAGCTGGTGCAAGGTTAAAGATGGAGGCTATACGGGAAAGGAGGAAGCAAGCAGAAGTATATATTGGCCTTTAACAAAAAAAAAGAAAAAAAAAAAGAAAAAAAAAAAGGTCCTGGGAAGAGTTCTTGAGGAGCAATTAAGCCTTCTCGCAAATCAGTTCAATGCTTTTGTAAAAAAAAGAAAACCTCAACTGTTGCTTTGTTTTGGGAATAAATTACTAATGACTCGCACAGGGCACTAATGAATGCAAAAGTAAGTACCACATATTCCTTTTATGCCTCACAGAAATGCAGTGTTCCTGTACATAATAAGCTTTGTGTATTTAAAATTTTGCAGATGCGGCCACGGGTGAAGCGCGTCAACCTGAAAGACATTCTGTTTCTCATGGAACAGGAACGCGATAGCATCCATAGCACACTCCTCTACAAGTCCTATCTCAAGTAGAGGGTGGCACGTGTGCATTTGCACATTTATTACATACACACAAAGTGGCTTTTCCCAAAAACCCCCAACTCTCGGTGAAGCGTTTGCACACTCTTTGAAAAAAAAAAGAAGAAAAAAAAAAAGGGAAAAATATCTGTCTTCACTGCCCGTCCTCGGTTGTGTCAGGGGTCTCCTGGCACATCCTTTTTTTCTGTAATTATTGTTTATTTGATCATGGCTAGTCAGCCATATAACTCTGAAGTATTAATGCTCCTAATTAGTGGTTTTCTAAAATTGTTTAGAGTATGGTACAATAGGAAATTCTGGTTTGTAAGATGTCTTGTACAGTCTGTAAATATTTAATTTCTAACAGTACATGTATATTGACAATTTTAATAGATGTTTCACTTGCTGAGCTGGAGTGGCACAAAACTGCCGGGGGTTGTGACATCGATATCAATGCATGGGCCTAATTTGAGTTCAAAGACAGTGAAATATGAGTTTGACACAATTAATTGTATTGTTATGATTCCTTGAACACCTTCCTATCATTTGAGGTTGCCTGTAATCTGTGGTTTCATGGAAGTGTTGTTTCACAGTGCACACCTAAGATAGTACCAACATTATGTCAGACACTTCAAGAAATTTTGTGTCTCGGCAGTGGTGGGGGGCCGCAAAGAAATGGTGTGATGTCCAGTGTCGGATAGTTTTGCACTCCACTCGCTCGAACTATGTTCCCTTAAATGAGTTAGCAAAGACAAATTTATGTACAGTGTTCACGAGGCCTAGGACAAAGCAGAAGGATGTGTACATCTCTTTGGTTTGTCCTCTGCTTCAAGTGTACTGTCAGTCAAAATTGGCATTAGCTAAGATTGGTGATAATTAGCTCCTAAAGGCTGTTTGGATGCTGGTGTCTTTTTTTTTACCCCTGAAGAAAAAGGTGTACCTGGGGGTTCTGTAAATTTTGTTGACATGGAGAGCATAGTGACTAACTGTTGCAACTTGAGGAAGAGCAGGCATATGAGGATGCAGGGAGCGCGTCTGCCTCTTTCCTCGCATGTTTGTTCTTGCTCAAGAGGAAATTTTTTTTTTTTTTTTAGATCTTGTACTAGTGCAAGTTTCTCTCTACTTAGGTACTACATGTGCTTTTTTTTTGTTTCATTTGTTTGAAGCTTTGTATATATGTCAATATTTGAATGTACTCTTGTTTTCTTTTATGCATTGTCAGATATTTTTTCTTCTGCAATTTTTTTATGCTGTCATTGATTCTGTGATAAGACGTGTAAATAATGCAAGAGTGTGCAAAAAAGAAGGATGAACTAAGGTTCCGTGAAATTGTTTTCCACAGTGCTGTTGTAAACTGGTGCGGCCTGTGAGGGATGTGCAGACTGGTTAGTTGGGTGGTTGGTTGGTTGTACTATCTCATTTTCCGTGTATTCTGTTTGAAACACAATTTGCCACTTCATTATGCATTGGGTGCTGTCCACAGGCATTTTCATCAGCGCAGTGTCTGTCGTAGGTAATATTGATTGTGTCAAGCTTTCTCCCATCATGTAACTGGTGAAATGGACACTGCTTGTAAATATCATTTTTGTGCTCTGTCTACACGTATCTACACTGTACATGTAAGTATGCCACAAGCATAACAAAAACTTGATTTTAGTTCACTGGTGAAATCATGTTTACCTTTGATACCAGATAGTTACCTTATATTTGATAGTTGCCTGTAAATTACGGAGAAATAACCTTATGTATGCACATGTTTCAGGATATATTTAATAAGATTTTATTGTTGGATGGGACAATGTCGTCCAAAGAAATTTGTAATTACTGTGTTTTCAAAGTGTACTGTAGCTGCAATGGAACCTTTTTATGCTAAAGTCGTTTCAGCATCAGAAGACCATGGAACCCTGAACTTTCTGAATGGTTTTTAAAATCATTAAAAGAGCAAGAGAAGTCCTTGCTGTTCTCAACCTGGTGTTCTAAATATTGAATAGGTGTTGGATCCTTTCAGACTTGCAAAGCCCTTGCAAGGAAAGGACAATGGAGATATTAGCTCAACTTTACATCGTAGTGGTTGTAGCAGCTGGGGGTTGATAAATGCTAACGATGCTGCTTGTTCAAAATTGTTTGTGTTGCTCTTGAAGTGAACACCACCCCTGTCTTTTTTTTCAAGGCAATTCAGGCATAGGGTTGTGCCAAGTGTTGCTGTCTGTTGCACATGCACCCATAAGCAGGTTCTCAGATTACTAGTCACTTACAGAATGAAAATGGCAGAGTATGTCTTCTCAACACCCAGCCTCCAACATGCGCACCATGCCTTCTGCTGTGCCTTGGCTGCACGTGCGCGCGTGCTCGAGGTGCGCGAGGTGATGAATCATTGTTGAAGGTAGGAAGCTTGCATTTCACCTTGTCAGTAACTATAGTAAAGACAACACAACCTGGATTGTGCTGATCAATTCCAGTTTGCAGTACTCTTCATAAATTAATTTCTGAAGGGCATTAAATTGAAGATTGATGGCATACATTAAAATATTAAGAAGCACAAAGGATCACCAAACCAGCTTTTAGGGGCGAAGCTCATTAGGGTCTAGCCTTGTCCGTCCGTCCGTCCGGCTGGCTTCCTTGTTCACATAAAAAGAAAAAATGTTTGCACAGTCGACAGGATTCGAACGTGTGCGGGGAGACCCCAATGGATTTCTAGTCCATCGCCTTGACCTCTCGGCCACGACTGCGGGACGAGTAGGGGGCTCTGAGATGTGGTAGTAACTCAAGAGCTAGGGATGTCATGGATGAAATGTTGCATTTAGCCGCTCGACGTCTATACAGGAGAGGGCGCTGCGGTCAAATGCGTATATAACTGCGGTCAAATGCGTATATAACTTTGCATACATTGGCTCAACGTTTATAGACGAGAGGGCGCTGCGGTCAAATGCTCAAATGCGTATATAACCACGTTCCATACCACACATTCTCTTTCTGACATGGATGAAAACGAACGAAAAGCTGGGCATGCTGCGGCTCAGCGTCTACGCAGACAAAAAGCTGCTCCGGAGAGGATAAAAAAAAAAAAATCAGCACTACCTATAAACAAAATCAGTATATCATCAGCACAATCAGAGCTTCGCCCCAATCAACATCATTCACCACGTGGAAATGCGGTCATTTTTTTTTAAATCCTTGCCTGTTGCTGACATACTTTATATTTTCTCTCAAATGAAGAACAGTGATGCAGATTGATACTTTAGCCCCATGTTCGAGGGGTGGAGTGGAGTGGAGTAGGAGGAGGAGGGGGGAAGGACTGCGGCAACAGGGAAAATAAAACAAAATGTGTCAACACACCACGAAATGTGGCTCTGCTAACACATTTTGCATCTTGTGCTGTCCGAAACCATGTTACCATGTTATAGACCTGCAAGTTTTGTTGCGGCAATTATATATATATATATATATATATAACGCACACTTTTAATCATCCTACGTGGTCTCCGAAGAGGAAACAATTGAAAATATGCAGATGAATGAACCGTACTTGATCGAACTAATCAAAATCTTGATGGAACTAATGGTTTCGTTTTACGAAACCGCCGAAAGCCAAAATAAACGCCGGAGCCAGGATTTGGCAGATACGACAGGGAGATTATAGAGTCATTCGCCATGACCACAGCAAACAACAACGTGTCAAACCCTACCCTCCTGCTGACAACTTGCTCTTCGCGTTTTTCTTTATTTTTTTTTTTTTTATCTCCCCTTCTCCCCCCTTTCCCTCCTGGGTTTAGTCGGCTGCTCGCTGTGGGAATATTTTAATCGTCTGCTCCTAGTTGAAGGATGTGGTTGTATTGTCCCAGTGTTAATTGTTTATTCTTCCTTAATCCATTCAGGACTTGAACTCTCGACCTCCCAATGTTCGGTTGGGTGGAGTGGTGTAATGGTTAGCACTCCCGACCGAGGCCCAGAGTTCAAATCCTGGCTCTGCTGTTTGTTTTGGCTTTCGGTGGTTTCGTAAAACATAGATTCATCAAATCAGGTACGGTTCATTCATTTGCATATTTTCGATTACGTATATGGGTGGTCTCATCTCAACTCAGGCACGGATTGAGAGTCGAATTTTTAATTTTGACGAAAAAAATGTATGTTTTGGGGAAAATCCTTTTGTGACAGGGAGTGCAAACCGCAAGTTCAGGCGATTTTTTGTTCTCGAGTTATGGACATTTTCAGCATCCGAGGCGCAAACTGACCTTGCTCTCGCCTGTCGAAGGTGTCGTGTTTCGCTCCTCTCAACTTTTTGTCTATTTTTGGTAGTGCAATATAACCTTTTTCGACCACTCCCAGAATAGCGATTATTTATGGTCAATAATTTCATTGTAAATTTTTATCTTCACTTTTGTTTTAAATATTGTCAAAGTGTCTCCCTTTGACAATATTTGCCAAAGTTTGACCAGCTCTTCCGTGTGACCTATTTCAGATATCGTAACATATTTAGTATTTTCAGAAAGCTGAGAGTATGCTCTTTCTATTGATAACAAATTTAATGTGTGTAAAAGTGAAAGGGCGGTGTATTCTCGTAAAGTAAGGACTATTTCAAATTTTTGCACATTGGCGGTCGATTTTCTTAAAAAATCCACCATTTATTTGGCTGATTTTTTTTTCTCTAGCTAGCTATTGCAGTGCTTTATAAGTAGGGCTCAGTGTTTTCGGATAAATTCGAAAAACACCCGCCGGTAAAATTTTGGTCAATTCGGATTTATCCGATAGACTCCGAATATTTATGTGTCAATGCCACTCCCCCCTCCCCCCCCCCCCCCCCCCCCCCCCCCGGCAAAAGAAAAAAAAGTAAAATACTTTTTTTTTTTTTTTTTTACAGTTTGATTAGCACAGAGCCAATGATCCTGGGAAAATTCCACCATAATTATCTTTCAAATCTCGGGCCGTTGTCAAAAGGGGTCTTGCCGCTTGTCTCTTCAAGGTTGATTCAGGGCAACAGGTCGTTCATTGTACATTCGGATCACGACAAAAGCCACTCTTTTGGTTTCTAGTTTGGGCCATGCGATTTGTGATTTAGAGAAAGGAAAGGGTATGTTTTAGTAACAGTGAAAGCTGTGAACCATAGGGACTGTATAAAATTGGGAAGAGAGGGGCAGTTCAAACTCTCCATTACCTCCTTAACCACTCCACCTCGCGCGGCCGCGGGCTGGATTGATGGAATAGGATGACTATGAGCTTCCTAGCGACTACCTCCGGGAGTTTATTGATTTTAAGGTACCGGCGTTTATCGGAGCGCCACTTGGTGTGACTTTTGTCGTGGATAAATTAGTATTGCCAATGGCAGTGGCACCAACGCCAAATTCAAATGAAAATATGTCAATTGATACAAGCGCGTTTTATTTTTTATCTGGCATACGTTTACATTCGGTCATTATTTATTTTTTTTATTTTTAATAGGAAACACAGCGAAATTAAACTTCGAATTTCGGAGAATTGGGAATAAAAAATATAAACTCTGAATCTTCGGAAAAAAAATAAACTCCGAAAAACACCCTCCGATTTTGACGAAAAATAAACTCCGAAAACACGGAGCCCTATTTATAAAGTAATATAAGTAGAAAACGTAATATTTTGTATGGCAGCTCTTAAAGCTTGAAGTCTGATTTTGTTTGACTGCTTGGTCAGTAAATCAACTTACTCGCAAAAATGCACTAATCAGGGGTGGAACGGCTGCGCCATTTGCGCCGTTTTGCGCCAGACGCATTTGTCCGCGCCATCCGGCGCCATGTTGCGGAAACCGCCACAGCCAATACCTCGCGCCATTATGCACCAAATCGCTAAGTGTGCCAAAAAAAAAGAAAAATTATTTTGTCTTGGTTTCTGTTTCTATTGACTCGATTGGCAACAATGAGCGTGTTTAGCTTGGTCGGCCTTGCAATCCTTTGTTCTGTTTATTCTCCCTGTGTATCCCGAGTCGGAAACGCGCGAAAAAACTCGGGGGTCGGATTCCAAGCGCTACACCACCCGCGACTGGATTGTTATTCTTTAACCATACGCTGTTAAGCGAGTCGGCCGAGGTAAGGTCGAGTTGTTAAGCGTAAGATCGCCTGAGGCTCTGCGGCCCGGGATCCGGACGTCAGCTAGTTGAAAACAAATGAGCAAAAAATTCCTTTTAGTACCTCATCGTTAGAAGTTAGAACCGCATTCCCACAGGACAAAACGTGATTTGATAGAACTGAAACGCGGTAAGATCCGAAACCTTGCCGGCCAGCAGCTCTCACGCGAGCGGCGGTAGATCTGCTCGGCGTACTTAACCATGCTCCTGCTTATCGCTTCGAATACGATAACTCCGTTAATCGTAGTCTGCCGCTTCGATATTGAGTTACACAATAGGATAAACTCGAAATTTCTTGCCCTGTTCCTCCGCGCAACTGCATGTCCGTTGTTTACGCTCGTCACGTAGTTCGCACATATAATTACTATGTCGAGTACGTGTGGGTTGTGCGATAAGCAGTGCTGGTTTGCATTTTGAACAGGTGAAAGCCGCTTAGAAAATACCAAGGACACTATCTTCAGCAACATATGGCACTTGCCTTTTGGTTCTCATTCTCGCAACGTTTCAAGTTTTCGCATCTGTTACACTGTTATCCTAGGGAGCCTTCATGTGCGCTTTGCTAGGGTGATGCCACCCTTTGGCTGTGTTTCAAATCTTACCCAAATGAACCCGAGTTACTCCGGCGGGTCGTGTCACGTGACAACATAGATTGAAGAACGCTGGACGCGGGTAGGTTTTGGAACACCAAGGTACAAAACTCTTACCCCTGGAGTAAAATCGAGTAAATTTTGGAACACGGCCTTTGTAATACCACTCGCCGACAAACCAGCAGCCATTTTGGTCCTCGGCGATAATCCGTGGGCTTATAACCCTCCCGGAAACAAGCACCTTATCTCACAAGTTCGGAGCAGCGTTGTGGAACCCACGGAGGGA